CCCCCCCATACCTAGATCTTCCCTTCCTCTCCCTCGGATATGTCCCCGTCTTCTTTCATCCTTTCGTTTTCTTCCCTCTTCCTTTAGGAAATTGGATATGATATTGTGGCTGATCGGGCTGGAAGGAAGGCGACGATAGGGGGTGTGCTCTGCCAGCCACAGCCCTACACGTGTTACTGCAAACTGCGTCACTTGGACCGCTGCAGACCACCAACCAGTATTACCGTCTTGGATTGATAGGATCTCTCCACTGGGATGTTACTGTTTCCATTGCTCAGCCCTCCAAGGTGGTCGCAAAGGGCACGTTCTGGTGCCCACCCAGCTTGGCATGCAACTTTGATGCAGAAATGAGAGCCAAGATGTACACTTAGGGGCATCGTCCATGCAGGGTAAGTTCAGTTGAGAAAAATAAAGATGACAGGTGTGTGTGTGATGGGATGATAGTGGCTTATAAAATTATGCATGGGGTGAAGAAAAAAGAGAAGATTGGTCTTCCTCTCATAATACTTGAACTTAGGAGCAACCAATGAAGTTGATGGGTAGTAGATTTAGGGCAGACAAAAGGAATTAGTATGTCACTCAATTGCTGTGTCAGGCTAAATCAGGAATGTCGAACTCATTTGTTATGAGGGCTGGATCTGACATAAATGAGACCCTGTTGGGCCAGGCCATGTGTGTCATAAAATGTAATGTTAGGTAGAGAGAGATAAACCTTATAAAGGACACAAGCACAATTAAAGGTTTTTTAAACTTTAAATAAAACATGCTTAAAACACTAGCACTCTAGCAATATTTTGTCTATTTAACCGTCTCTGATCACTGACACCTCTTGCTCTGACTTATTGCAGCTGCAGAACTGGAAAAGGAAGCAGGAAACAGACAGGGCCTTGCGGGCTGGATTGCAGCCCTCTGAGGGCCTGATCCAGCCCCCAGGCCACATGTTTGACACCCCCATGCTAAATAATCCACTTTCAGTGCACTTTCCAATTGGACTTTTACTGTGTGAACTGGCAAAATCCAGTTGAAAAGTGCGTTGAAAGTGGATTATTTAGTGTGTGTGACCGCAGCCAACAGGTAGCTAAATTGCGAAATCAGCTGTCACAGATGTAGTGATGGCTACTAATGTCATAAATGACTATAAAGGGGATTGGGCAGATTCATGGAGGATAGGTCTATCAACATCTACTAGCTGTGATGGATAAAGGGTACCTCCACATCCAGGGGTTGTAAATCTCTGAATTAGGAAGCAATATTGACCTCTGTGACCTGTTTGTTTGCAACTGGTTGGCCATGGTGTGGAACAGGATGCTGGAGTAAATGGACCATTAGTCTGGTGCAGCAAAAGGCTTCTTTATATCCTTATGACTTGTTGGAGGAAGGGTCAAGTAGGATTGTGGGTTGGACATACTGATGCCTTGAAAAAGTAGGGGGTGCTCCATCTCCAATTTCCACTGCATTTCTCAGCACCCTCAAGTTCCTCTTACCTGTTTCACCCTAACTCTGACCATCCTAGCATTTCTTATCAGCTCTGATAGCTAACTGGGACCCTCATCATCAGAGGCAGTATGGTGGACCAACGATAGGGGTACACTGTTGCCTTCATAGCTTCCTTGTAAGCTTTCCAGAAGCATTTGACTGACCACTGTTGGAAGTTCAGTGATGGACTAGAAAAAGACCTATGACTTGTCCAGGACTGCAAAAGCAGAGGAGAGGTCTGAGTCCCAAACACTTCCTTTCACCCAACAAACACCCCAGCATGCGTAGCATGCGTGGATTCTCATTGCAGTAACAAAAAAGCCACCTCTTTGCAGACAGGGATACCTCAAAATTGTGAATGAATTATTCTTGCCCAAAATGGCAGTATTAAACCTTCAAATTATTGTATCAATATTCTTAGAAATTTATTAAGATCTTCCTGATCTTATTTTAGAAGCTCATGATCCCATGTAATCCACCCCACCGGGATGAAATCTTACAAACTCAGCCTGTCTCAACGTCCTAGCCAAATTTTATTTCAGTTCCTTGTGATTGGTGCTGCTGTTAGGTAAGAGTATACTTGTTTAATCTGAAGGGCTGTTTTGCGTCTGGTCTGTTGCAATCTGGACATGGAGAAGAAAATAGGCAAGATGCCTTTCCTTCTAACAATTAGTGGTACCTTTTCTTATTGAACTGCAAGTTATCGTTCCTTCTGAGTCACAAAAGAGTCTCAAATCTTTATTCGATAATATGTGGACATGTTCAAATAGAATAATAATCATTTTTGTAAAAATAAAATGCTTTATCAAATACAGTTCTTGAATTTGTTGGCATCACTGCTAACTGCCAGTTCATGTCTAAGCACAGATCCATGGAAGTCAATGGGTTTAGAAGGGTTTAAGAGCCAGTTTGGTGTAGTGGTTAAGTGTGTGGACTCTAATCTGGGAGAACCAGGT